AAAAAAAAAAAAAAAAAAAAAAAAAAAAAAATAGAACTATAAAGGAATGCCTAAAACTAATATGTCTCTGAAACACATACAGATTTATCCTTTTTCCTTTTTCGATATCGGATAACAACTTGCCAACTTGTTCAATCTCTCTTTTTGATTAATAGGAGAACCACTGTCGCAGGATTAAGATACTGGGGGACTGTTACTACTGCGTGTCAGGGCTGACTCAACCTAAGACTGACCATGCTCACTGCTGTGTTGAAATGGGTTTGGACATGATCGACACTATAACGTGAGTTTCCCTTAGATAGTCCCTGATTTAATCTGTTAAAGCACTGAGTGGGAAGAACAATATGAGCTGTGTTTTATTGTTGAATGTATTTTTTTTTTTTTAGGGAGAGGGCATAGGCAATGTTAGGACCCAAATGATGGATAAACATTGAGACAAAGTTAAATCTGCTGTATTTACAATCTGCTAGAAACATTTAGACATATTTTTCCTCCAAGAGTAAGGTAGAAAATTGCCCAAGGTATGTTATGTTTGGAATTTTCATTTGGTTTCTGAGACCAGATAATGATAAGTATTTTCTTTGCCCTCTTTGAGTGGTGGTAGTATATTTTTAGAGAAGATTGATGACTATTAGGTTGTGCTTATTTATGGTAAGTAAAGATGTTCTGCTTTTACATGGTGGTTTGATTGAAGCATGTGCTCATGAAATTTCTTGCACAAGATGGAGGCTCTATTAATTAAAACAACAATTGTTGTAGACATAGCTCAAACATCCTGCAATAATGAGCTAGAAAACTGTCTTGTGGGTCAGTGGATGCATCTTTGCGCAAGAACTTACGATACATTTTGGGAGCAAAATAAAATTCTCTTTTTCACGTAGCCTACTTATCAAAGGAATCATCACTTGCCGCCCATTTATTTTTCATCGTAAGAGACATCAGATATGATGAATAGACCTATTTTCACGCTGTCTCATATGGATAAAAGATGATGACAGACATGTTGTGATTTCAAATAATTACTTTTGATATGTTTGTTCAGGTTTTAAATTGTGGAGAAGGGTCCGGCTCTTCCATTTCCATTTCCAAACAAACAAACAAACAAAAAAAAGCAGTTGTGAAATAGCGCAATCCATCATTAAAACTGTATTGTCTTGTACTTTCACTATATATAGTTCCTATATATACTTTATATTTACTGTACCATATGTACTTTTCCATAAGATTTTCACCCAAATCATTTTATGCATGGTCCCGCAGGTCAGTTGCAGAGGCAACAGAAGTCAACCTTAACATGCGTGTGGGTCTGCACACTGGTCGAGTGCTGTGCGGAGTACTGGGGCTCAGGAAATGGCAGTATGATGTCTGGTCAAATGATGTGACGCTGGCCAATGTGATGGAAGCTGGAGGACTACCAGGGTTGGTACACTTATAGATAAAAATACTGACAAGTGTTTATATGTAGAATCAGAATTGCTAAGTTAGTGGCATAGATTTTTATTTTTTTTTATTTTTACTTTGGTGCAGAAAACAGTATTTAGTGAATATATAATCTAAATAGAGGTTATCCTCTATTTTCCTCTCCTATTCTGCAGAGTTGAACAAACACTAATGCCGAGTCTATTTGGTCCTTATTGTCATGATCCGTGTTTCTGTATATTTATTTTAAGGTTTTTCTGTGTTCAGTTTATGTCCTGTGAGTCTCTGTTTCTGCGTCTTCCCTGTCGATTGCTTCCCAGGTTTGTCTCATTCCCTGATTAGCCTCCCTGTGTATTTAAGTCCACCTGTTGTCTTTGTCTCTTGTCGGGTCCTCGTCAAACATCAGTTGTTGTCTGTGTCGGCTCTCCAGTAGAACTGTTTAAGTCCTGGTTAGCTGTCTCCATGTTCAGTCTGTCGTCAGTTGCTACCGGTGTTTAGCTGTGTGCTAAACTCTCTGCCGTGCCGCCTGTATTTGGACTGTTTGAGCCTTTCATCATTAAATTCATCATTTTCTTCACAACCTGGGTCTCAGAGTTCATCCTCACCATCTCTCAAACCACCACTTTGTGACACTTATCAGAACTGGTGTTAATTTAACTCTTATTTCAACAAGAAATTGAGTAATTTTAACACTTGGGTTGCCTCCTGAATGCCTCCTCTGGGCACATCCCACTGGAAGGAGACCCAGAGGAAGACCCAGGACATACTGAAGGGACAATGTTGGTGGATGAGGAGAGGGAAATCTTGGTCTCTCAGCACAGGCTGCTGCTCCCACAACCCGACCCCAGATTAAGCACAAGATAATGACTTGATGGATGGATAGATAGATTTTAATAATTTCTCTCTGCTTTTGAGTTTAATTTTTTTTTCTTTTCAGATTTGCCTCATTTATGTTAAACTTGCCTTGTTTGCATTGCAGGAAAGTTCACATCACCAGATCAACACTTGAGTGCCTAAATGGAGACTACGAGGTAGAGCCTGGAAATGGCCATGAAAGGAACGCCTTTCTCCAGAAGCATGAAATAGAAACTTTCTTTATTGTGCCATCTCACCGACGGAAGGTATTTTCTGTTTGGAATGACAGATTAACATTGTACGATGCATGTTTTGTTTTACAATGACCTATTACTGAGGCCCTGTTTTAAGTGATAAACATTTAGAACCTCCAAAATAGCTTAGAAAAGCATGTGCACTATGTCAGGGCACAATGAAACTGTAGCTGTCATTATTGTTGTGCTAACTGATGACTGAGGTCATCAGTTTGACCTCAGTCACATGAAATGAGTCTAGATTTTGCTATGATTTTTATTTTTATTTTCTTGGGATTTGAAAACCCTATTCTTGAACTAGGGTTTTCTCAGTACATGTGTTGGTTTCGATTCATGTAATGCATTTTTGCTAGATTATAAAGAAAAGAAACACAGCCAGTGGCATCCATCATCTCAAATTTGCACACTTGGACAAACTTAAAGAGAAATACACATAACTCCAGCAGATGTGCCACAAGCAGGGAATTTCAATTCTCTGTTCAACTCTCCCCTTTTTTCGGCTTCAGTGTGTCATTCTACTTTCTTCATTATTTCTGTCAGCCAGTTTTGTTTTTGAAAGATAAGGCTTGCATGCAGGTTCACAGTTTCATGTCCCAGTATTTTTTTCTTCCCTTTGCAATATAAGAGACTTTACTAATCTGATTAATGCAGCTAATGGCTTAGCTTCATAAAAGCAATGGCTCTGGCAAAGATATGCTCAAACTGTGGTGTTCGATAGACCGCCGCTCACTGCAGGGACGGATCTCAAACAAAGCATAAAGATTATGTTGCAAGTCCCGGTAGCGCTTTCTCAAACCCTTTAATGTACACTTAATGTTTTTCAGATTTCCTAAAACAGGTTTGAGGTCAATTGTCCTGAAATTAAAAAGAGGTCCTATGGGATTAGACTGCCTCAGTTTAGCCACTTCTAAGCTCTGTGATAAAGATTGCATGTGTGTGTGTGTGTGTGTGTGTATGCTCTGTGTGTTGTGTACGAGTTCAGACTTGCACATAGTCAAGATTTTACTGCAGGGTTGTGTGACTTAATCCTTGTTCTCATTCTGGTGACAGATATTCCCAGGATTGATTCTTTCGGATATAAAGCCTGCCAAAAAGATGAAGTTCAAAACCGTCTGCTACTTACTGGTGCAACTCATGCACTGCAGGAAGATGTTCAAGGCTGAGATTCCGTTCTCCAATGTCATGAACTGTGAGGATGGTGATAAGGTAAGAAAACTGCTTTGGGTTGACTTATTGTTGAATTCTTCACAATAACATTTTTTAAAATTATTTCATTGTTCTAGATCTATAATTATTTCAATAAAATGTGTGTGTGTATATATATATATATATATGTTTGTACAAAACATAGCAGGGAAGTTTAGATGTGATGCATTTGAAAAGAATTAGCCATTAAACTTGCTGTCCACCTCATCATTGCTAGATCTGGTCTGGCACTTTTACACATAAACAGGAGACAGCAGCCTCACTCCTGTCAGTCTGCCACAGGGCAGGTGTGGATAAAATGTACGTTACCACCATCAAGGTACTTTTAAATGGACATAAGTAATTGAAATAAGCGACCGGTCGGAATAAAAATGTGTAATTTAAACACCCCAATCAGTATATTCTGATTGGAAAGCATGCATATTTAGATCCTGACAAACCTGCTGCAGCACAACAGACACATTAGTCTTTGACTTTGATTCAATGCCCAAAGTGCTGCTGAAGACACATAGACAATGTGATGCTTTTTATGATAAACTTAAGTATCAATGTTCTCATTTTAAAGTACAATCAGCTGCTCTTATTTACTCTTGATTCTTATTTATCTTTGTAATAAAAATGAAGCACTAGGTAGAGTAAACAGTGCAGCAGTGTATTTGTTAAATGATTTTTTTTTTTTTGGCTTCATTCCAGCGGAGGGCCATGCGAACAGCTCCACAAAAGCTGAGGAACCGCCCCAATGCTAACCAGGCTAACTTGATCCAGAGCAGTCCTAGGACCAGGGTCAACCGTTACATTGGCCGGCTGATTGAGGCCCGCCAAACAGAGTCCGACACAGCAGACCTCAACTTCCTCACACTCATGTATAAGTGCTCTGAGCGAGAGCAGAGGGTGAGGCATTTGACATGCTACCAAGATTGAGATTAGTAGAGCCCCAGAGCCTCTGTTTATGTCTTGATATTTTGTTTCCAGTACAGATATATATATATTTTTTCGTCACAATCAAAAGCTGACTTTAGTTCTCCCGGGAATCTGAAAGTTTTGAAAATATGTTTTTCTTTGGGCTTCTAAAATATTAGTTATTCTCACATTTCTAAGAGAAAACATTTTGGTAGATAAAAAAGAAATACATGTAAACTAATTTAAAAAAAA